TAATTTCATTTTTTCTCGTTTTACGCTCTGAAGCTGGCCGATGGATTTTGGTCAAAATGTTCATGCTCTTAAATTGTAAGGAAACTTCGCTTATAGAGGTTTTCGAACACGCTCTTTACGAAAATCGTGGTCCTTGAGGATTACAGGGTCTTTTTGGTGAGATACGGTGAGGTGACTGTAACTGCATCACGAAAGTGCGTAAATTGGCCCGCACTTCTCGCGTATCTGTCAGCAACCTTGCCTGCTTGCTTTTCTCAGTCAAAGTTGCTAGGAACTGCGCTACCGAATGGTGCATGAATCAGGCTCCAGTCTGTAAAAATCACCGAGTTACGAGCCTATGAAAACACGTCCTCATGGATTTTGCCCAAAATCTAAAGATCGCATATCTCGTCGAAATTCCTCCGTGAGCGCTTGTATGACACTCGCATTGCGGATATTGTGTTCGCTTCGCCCAAAAACTCCCACTGTATTGAATATGGTACTTGCATATGCTTCAGCTACTCAGTTGAATATCAGAGCTATTTCAGTGGCTAGAACTCAAACTACTAAATCTAACACAATAAGATCCATTAAGGACGCGAAAGATTTTGATCAGCGTGTTGTACAAGCGCTCACGGTGGAACTTCGACGAGATTTGCATCTTTAGATTTTGGGCAAAATCCATGAGGACGTGTTTTCATAGGCTCGTAACTCGGTGATTTTTACAGACTGGAGCCTGATTCATGCACCATTCGGTAGCGCAGTTCCTAGTAACTTTGACTGAGAAAAGCAAGCAGGCAAGGTTGCTGACAGATACGCGAGAAGTGCGGGCCAATTTACGCACTTTCGTGAAGTACTCTGCGTTGATACCACTCACCAAAAAGACCCTGTAATCCTCAAGGACCACGATTTTCGTAAAGAGCGTGTTCGAAAACCTCTATAAGCGAAGTTTCCTTACAATTTAAGAGCATGAACATTTTGACCAAAATCCATCGGCCAGCTTCAGAGCGTAAAACGAGAAAAAATGAAATTACTTGAACATCTTGGAAAACATGCTCATAAGGGTTATCCGACCTGCTGGTTACGAAAATCACATCTGCTTAGCAAGAGAGCTTCATATTTTAGAGTTACGTTGAGAAAAATTTAGAAGGACATGATTTTTCCAGAATTCACCAGCCCTTCTAACTCCTTTGAAAAGGAGTACGCGGCTACTTTCCAGCGCTCCATAATCTACAAAAGAAGTACTATCGAAAATTTCTTTCTGAATGTACTGGGGGCAATACGCGCTGCTTCACACCTTTGCGAAGAAACGTCCGCAGAAAGTTTTGAGAATACTGAAATCGAGATATCAAGGACATTCCGCATACCGAAAGATTTGCCTTGATGAGCTGAGCACAATGCATTTTTCGGATTTAGAAAATATCCACTCCAAAGAAAGTTACGGCGAGTAGAATCTGGAAACGAGTGATTTTTCCAGAATTTACCAACGCTTTTTTCTCTTTTGAAAAGAAGCCTGCGGCAGCTTACTAGCGCACTATAATGCACAAGAAGAGCACTATCGAATGGTGCATACTGGAAGCTTTCAAATTGGATAGGCGCTGCGTTACATACTTGCAAAGGGACCTCCTCAGAACAATTTGAGAAAACTGAAAACAAGATATAGATGACATGACGTATGTAGAAAGATTCGCCTTGACGAGATGAACACAGTGCTGCTTTCGAATTTAGAATATATTAATTCCGAAGGAAGTTATGGCGCTGCATAATTTACGATAATCCGGAATCGCGAAATTTCTGGAATTTCGCGCAATTCCCGTTCTGTGAGTGGTATTGTACATTGCACAGCACGCGCGGCATTCCGCGATATGTGCTTCTCATGCGATTTCCAACCATTTCCCTTTGTCTTCCTGCATTTTGGGACCCGTCATACTTCGCCGAGAGAAGCCCACTTTCACACATATCCATGCAGAATGAGCTGCCCACTTTCACACATATCCATGCAGAATGAGCTGCCCAGTTTCACATATATCCATGCAGAATGAGCTCTTAAACTATACCTGCCCTATTTCTGCTGTGCTCAATAGAATGTGTACGTAGCCTCTGGAATAAGCACACTGAATGGTCCATTTACACTAAAATTCCAGGAAAGAAACTTATATCCCACAACTAGGCACATCCGTATATTGGAAGATGCGCCTCGCCGAGCTGAGTTGAATGGTACTCTTATATATAGAATTCATAAATTTTGAATCAAGATAAGGTCTTTTTTTATAAAAAGTTAGGCGTTGCGCGACAAAGTTAGGTGACTTTTGCCGCTTTTCCGCCGACTTTTGTCGCGCGACGCGGCAAAAGTCACCTAACTTCGGCGGCGCCGCGTAAGTTAAGTGCCGCCGCCATTTTTTTTCGCAAATTACGGGTGGTATTGTATCTAGCATTCTTTATTAATTTTATTATTTAGCGTTCTTTATTATTATTAATTTGAAATGCGCCGTTGCACCTTACTGTCAATATAAGAACAAAAAATAGGAAAAGAAGAAAATGAGAGTTGAAGAGCACACCTTGGACATGTTCCTTGCAGTTTTAACCGAGTTCTGGCGTCCCTGCTTATCATTACGACCAGTTCAACTCGTATTTATAACTTCATCATTCTCAATATACTGTGCACTGCAGAAGGTAGCTTTGCAGTAATCTAAAAAGCAAATTTTTCTGTATTTGACATAAGAACTGGTTAACTGACTGTTTAGGCTTTGGCCATACTTTACCCGTGTTATATGTGTTACCGGTGTTACTAGAGTTACTGTGTTACTCACCAATGAGATTGCTTCTAGAATGAGACTGTATTTGTATCATTTCACTATTAAACAGCGATAAAAACGCTAGCACTAATAACAATAGTGACACGAGTAACACTGGTAACACCGGTAACACGGGTAAAGTATGGCCAAAGCCAAAGCCTTAATTACTGGAACGTGAATAGCATGGGCACGGAATCAAGTGGAAGCTGTAAATTCTGAAGAGAATGTAATAGTGCCATGATGCCTCGGGCATACCTCACGCGATTTCAGTCGCAACGCGATTTGGCAATACTCCAAATGTTCATAACTCATCCTTAGGGGTTTCTGAATGAACGGAAGAGGGGGCATTTTATCGACCTACGAAAGTTATACATGCTGTGCATTTGAGGTCTCCCAGTATTGAATTTGAAGACATATGGCAAATTGCCAGATCGCGTGGCGACTGAAATCGCGTGAGGTATGTCCCTTGCCTGACAGTGCCTACGCGATGCCAACAATGACTGAGCGTAAAAAACGGCGGCACAGCACTTTTTCATGACATGTATTTTCACGTTCTGACACAATCAGACGTCTACGTGAACAGACTTGTACAGCCTAAGGCCCACCGTTCACAGCACAGCAAGCTACGCCTGAGGCACTGGTGTTTCTAAAATATTCACAAGGGGGGATGGGGAACTGGGAGTCGTGGTTGACGCTATCTTGATTGGTTATTCAATTACAGTGATGTCTTTTCTTATGTGAAAACTCAAGAATAATATAATCTCTATAAAACCATTAAAAACTGAAACCACTGTACAAAAAGATTTTTCTTTGAAGGCGGTTGTCGCCACGCGCTTTTCGAAATGTGGAGAGTGCAAGCTGGTCATAATCACAAAAAAACATCCCGAAAGTTCTCACAATCAGAAGGCAAAATTCATTATCGCCCCTCATATTACAAACGGCAGGAAAATATGACTGATGTGTCAGGACGACAGGAAAAGACGACTGTGTTCTTTTACGAATTGCATTCCAGTGTTTATACACTAAAACTATTCTACCATAATAAAAATAGCATAGGCTGGAATCACTTCTTACGACCGAAAAAATTAGGTTTCTAATTTTTGATGCATAAGTGCGACGGAGTCCAAATAAGCTGGATGATCGCGTGCTACATTCTCACAAATCGACTACCAGCCATAAGGGCACTGCAGTTTCAGCGAATATCTATCCATCGACAGTTAAATACGAAAACTCCGTGCCAAAAATGATATAGTCACCGCAAAGAAGGCTGGCCAAAGTTTCGATGTACTATAATTTTGCTTGCTCCTTAAGCTTGCAGCAACACATTACATCGAGTTTTTATCCAGAAAAATTTTTTTGACCCTAATGTAATTTTTAAAAAAATGCCATGCACTTATGAATGTGTTTCAAGGAAAAATCCATCGTGGCATATCACGGACATACAAGGTGATGGTCAAAAACAAAATTTCAATTTTGCAACAATAAATGCTAGGAGGTCCACAAAGTTTGATCACTTTCCATTGTAATTTGGAAAATTACAACCAATCTTTTCACTGGAGGAAATCATGCTGAGGAGATGTATTCTTCTGCAAGTAGTTTTGATTTTTGAGTTTGGTGGACATTTCAATCTTGTTTCATATAAACAGTAAAGAATAGTTGTTATCTGCCACAAAAGATTACATAGTGACAAAACGCTTCTTCACACTTCTGGGACGAAGTTTTGTATTTTTGAGCAAGATCTGTGGACCAAAATGATACCAGTTCTGGCTTCCAACAAAACTAATTTCTCATTCATTGGGATGCCGGTGAGCTAAGGACGCCTGCTCAACTTTGGTCATAATGTATAGGAAACTTCTACAAATGTTCCTTCGCACGATCTAGAACGATCCAACTACGTATTTTCACTTTTTAATCTCAAGTTTTGTTGCCATTTAACCCGCACTTCTTCAGAAGTTGTTTACAGAGAGAACCTTAGGCCGGAACAGTTCCAGCACAACTCGAACGCTGTGCTGGAACTGTTCTGGAACTTACGGATCAGTATGAACCCAGCCTTACTTATTTGGCAAAGTCTAGCTATCTCACATAATTGTGAAAAAACCTAAATAGTCTACAGAACATAATGTAGACATATTGGCAGGTAATAATGTTTATTCACGAGCCAGTTGACATTTAAAGTCTATCTGGTAGGTTAGTAAACAAGCGCTTGAGAGAGTTTGCATGAGAATGACACAAACCGATATGATAGCCTTACGTATACAACAATTTTAGCAACTCAAGGCAAGACTGCAACCAAGAAGGCACTGAAACTACCCTATAAAAACACATGAATCATAATAAGAAACTACAATAGTCACAACATAGGAAGAGAAAATCCCACAACCAAGTATTATAATTAGATACATGAATAAAAAGGAGATGACGAGGTTATCACAATTAATTGTAATAATGGCACATTTACTTTTCCGAGATTAGCAACTCATTGTCAGCTAAACTAATAACTAATCTATGGATGGCTCTATGATGGATAGCACACCGCCGACAAGGTGCAAACTTCCTGTAACCAGCACATCCAACTCCTCGGTTTCAGAAAGCTTCTTTATCCAGTCTACTGTAGAAGATATGCAGTCAAAAACATGAACTTCCTGAAAACAAATTCACTCAATTATCTACGTGAAAAAATATCAGCGTCCTACCCCAGTGCCAATTTCCTTCCATGTGGAAGCGCACAGATGACTACGTTTCCGTTGCTCGAAAGCAGATGCATTGAAATTGGTGAGATCTGATTTGATGTCGGGAGAAACACTTAGGGCAGTTGGACAGAACAGAGCAAAGTCAAAGGCATGTCGCTGAAAACTTTGGTTTGCTATGTGGTCTCCAAAGTGCAGGCAAGATCGCAACAAGTTCGGAATATTCCAACTCACTTTAATAGATTTTCCGTTTTGACCAGTGTACTTGGGACGTCGCGATTGAGCAACCAAATTTGCTAGTCAACGAATAGCCACGTCTGCAATGCTGGCAATTTGCGCGCGCAAGTGGCCAGCAATACACGCGTAGCTATTTGTTTACGCGCAAATTTGGTTTTCTAATCTCGACAACGCAACACTATATTGAGTGAAAAACTACTAGATTTGAAATACTGCGACATTCCCAACTTCTCTTTGATACCAGCTTACTGCAAGCCCTTGCGAACGGATTTCAATGATGCGCACATAGCTTCGGTAAGCTTATGCAAAAATCCTCCCCCCCCCCCTTAACCATAATGTCACAGATGAAGATTCTCAAATGCGCGAATTTCTCCTTTCTGAAAAAAAAAAACTCACGCTGAGATGAGGCAGTAGACTTGACGGTTTCCTATCAGCAGTACACTGGAATACCATAACACGCTTCTTTTGTGAAGATTTATTGACAGCATCCCCAAACCATTTCGAGCAAACCTGAGACCACGACTTACTAGAAAAACAGACTGATTCAGAATGATCTTATACTTACCTCCATACTTTTAGGAGTGTGTGCACCATCCAAATAATATTTTATCCTATCCTTCAACACGATCTGACTTCTGCCAGGCCAGTGACATGACTCTATAGCTTCAGCCATTGATTTCGGTACAAAATATGAACTTCCCATTTCCCAATTATCCTCGCTGCTATCCGGGAATACCTCAGCTGGAATCGAGAATGATAAGCATAAAAAGAGATGTGAAACTATGTGACTTGCCTTCTCTTTGTGTTTGCTTCAGCCAAGCTCTTGCAAGCTGGAGCGCTAGGGAGACATTTACTTTCTGATGATCGCCAGCTATCCCAGCTGATACCGCTCCTCCCTCAAATGTGTAGTACTGATACAATGGTGCGATACTGAGCAGAGCCTAAACATGAGTAATGATCATGGCTCTCCAACTTGACTGGACTGGACAAAAAAATCCTTACGCCCCGTTCCTCGGCACGATCCGTCACTACCTTGAGAGGCTGTTCGCATAACGGAGTAACAATCGCAGGGCAACCCTTTTTTAGAATACCAGCTTTGTGCCAGGCGATTTCCGTCAAAGTGGTACCAAGTATGGAGGTATGGTCGATATCCAAGGTGGTAATTCCACAAACAGTAGGATGTCTAAACATAGTATAAGAAACTCTTATTGCTTCTCAAACTGTTTCGCCAAAAACATTTTTTCATGTTGGTGCATCCTTTTTGAATATCCTAATGACTGCTAAATTATAGCTCTACAAAAACCGGTTCGCTTCAGCTGTCAAGAACAATCTCAAAGAATAAAAGGCTGGGGGCTCGGATGCATAGAGCATCCAAATGACCTACAGGAAGCGGACAATTTCCACACATCCGATTTCCCATACCCCATGGTAGCTTGTTCATTGTAATTTCCCTTCTTTTGAGCAGTGGCAATTGAAGAAGTTTCTGCGGTGAGAAAAGTACAAGGAAAAAACTCCCCCATGTGAAACACCTGCATCGCCTCCCTTTCGCGAAGACTCCTGTCAATTGCCCTAAAGAATTTCTTACGGAACACTGATTAAGATAATGGTACCATAATCTTGCTGAAGTGGAATCAGAGCGTACGCTTTTGCGTTCTTTGGCCCTTTTTGTGAGCCATATATTTTTCACTTAGGATGACAATCACGTGAAGGAACGAACATATAGGCTTACTGGACTACATTCGTGGCATCATACTCTCCACCAATTCCAACTTCGACTATGGCTACATCAACACACTCCTCGATAAAAACGTGAAAAGACAAAAGCGTCAGAAACTTGAAGTAGGGTGGCATGTCTCCTTCATCTGTTTTCTGAAAAGTTATATGTGTTATTTGAGTGTTCGAGAAAATCCCCATTTTTTCATTTATTTCATAATAACTCATTCACACATTCTGAGTACGGCAGAGTTGGATAGTTTTGTCACATTGCGCTCAATTACTTGTTTCTAGATTTTACTGAAAATGCAGGCCTTAAAAAAATAGTTTTGTAAAATATCAGACAGCAAAACGAAAAACCCTAAGCGTGTAGCGGAACTGATTCGTCTGTCGGCAATTTGTTTTTTTATAACGAATAAGTAAAATTTGCACGAAATATTGAAGCATGATAGAGGTGATGAATGGTGGATATGAAGGTTCTTCAGGAGCACCGGAAAGACATGGGAGTGGAAACACGACTATTAAAAAAAAGATAGCATTGAATGCAGAATTATTTGGCGAATTTTTGTAATTGCTTGCAAATAAACTTCCGAGACGATCTAATTCAAAAGTGTCACTTCAATGCGTTGCGCAAAAAAAGAATTGAATATTGAAGATGTCTATAAACTGCTAAATTTTCACTTCGCCTGGAATTAACGGATAGATATAGTCAGTAGCCCGTTAATCTTTTGTGGTACCTATGAGGAAGGAAAAACTTTACATTTGAGACAAAGAGAAGTTAGTTGCATAAGTTTTTGTTTCATACATTCTATAGTGTATTTCCGCAAAGAAGGGTGTATAATGAGAGGTGCCATGAAATCATTATTATAGTATGGTTTCAAAAAGTTGTGTAAACAGCAGTGATGAAGTGCATATTTTTTTTATAGTACACAGACTATCTCATGTTCGCCATACTCTTTTCTTTCACTGAATTAATTAACAATAGTAACATATAGTTGAAAATCAGTAGAAGAAAGTCGGTACATTCAACTGCAAGCACCAACGACTCCTCCGTACTCGCTTTCACTAAGAAATTAGAAAAAAACAGTTAATCTTGAGTATGCTCACATTGACCAATGTTGGCACACAAACTTGTTAAGTGAATTATTTTTGCCATTCATTGTCACTTATTCAGATGCAAAAAAAATGTCCCTTGAAAATCTAACAGTCAAGCCATTAGAGGCTACCAAGTTGATCTACGCGGAAACGTGCGAGAGGAGGCAGTGCGATGATTGCTCTCAGAATAAAGTATCTGATTCTCATTTTTATTGACCATCATCTACAGTTTTACTGATGATAAGTAATGAAACTAACTGCCTCACCTGCTTAAGTTTATTATAGACGGTGAAGAAATGTTTAGCAAAAAGTGTCTCGCTGATAGGCTTCCCATTAATTCGTATCCTTTCACGTGCGTGCACCAGATGAGGTGATCTGCAGATGAAAACTATGAAAATGAAAGAACTATGAAGACTTCGCGCTGAAATCTTGAGTTGAAATCCACAATCAAGTTTTTTTACATGCAACAATATTTTCTTCACCACAACTAATCACAATGGCGGACAGAGAGGGAAAAAAGCAAAATTTCGAGATGCATCCACCTGAACTGTAAAAATGTGCAAGTGACCTGTTTTACTGTAGTAATCAAGATTAACTTCTGAAATTTTTTTTCAAAAATTCAAATTAATTAGAAAAAACTTTGACCTAGCTGCCGCCAGGCCCCCTTTCCAAAAATTTCTGGATTATAGCGCTAATAAAAGCAAAATAAGAAATGGGAAGTATTCTCAAAAAAAACTTTGGAGGGGGTTGCTAATGTCACCTTGCCTTTCATTCGAAAATAATTGTGTCCTCCCTCTTTCAAAGGAAATTTCTCGAACTGATACTGACGATTGTACTGTCACTGTTTATTAGAAAATACTGTCAGTGGAAGCGAAAAATCACTTACGTGTAGAGGCCAGTTCTGAATCCCAGATGTCTGAGGATGGATTCTACAAAGGCACATGTCGACCCTTTTCCTTTTGTACCACTCACATGGATGACATTCAGTCGATCCAGCGCATCAAGCTGAAATAAGCACCCAAGGTTGAATGGAGTTGATTCTACCAACTAACTTACTCGTCCTCACTTCTATTCCACATTTACGGAGCTTCAGCACCATGTCTGGAATGTTTGTTTCCTGTAGGAGGCCTCGTTTTTCCCTGATTTTCTGGATATTCTCAGCATTCGATTGCAAAGAGTTCAGGTGAAGTATCGCAGCCTAAAAGCTCTTCATTTAAACCCGGATATGTTGCAAACAGTCGGTATATTATTTTGCATGCTATGACAAAACTCTGATAATTTTGATTTCGATACACCACATAATGTTAGAATTGAATGTTAAAATGGAACATATTGTTGAAACTGAGTTGGATTGGCGAGCGCAAAATAATCGTCATCTACTTTTCTCAAAACTGGAAATATGAAACAAATGTTTTTGTAGATAGTGAAAATCAAAATGTGGTGTCGATCCAATCGCTAGCTGAAGATACTAAGAATATCTGAAAATGTTCTATGGCAGTTCAATACCCATAATGTATCTGAGGCTTAGTACTTAGTACCGATTATCTCCTCAAAAATGTAAATAAATTTTTGCCACTAATATTTGCGTGCCACTACCGCTTTGTACTTGAGAAGAATCTGAAAGCCATGAAAGCGCAGCAATTGAACAAAAGCTGTTTGCCTTTGTTACGTCATATATACGAATCTAGTAAATTTAGCTGGTAAAGTTAGTTCCAGAAATACATCGAAGTCATTTTTCTCTCTTCGCCCTATATATTCAATTATTCATCCATTTATTTATTTTTTGTACTGCCCTAGTGTATCCAGATTTTCGTTATGTGGAGTACGCATGCTGAAATCAATTTTTTTTACTTGTGAGGTATGCAAAAAATTGTCCTTTCCATATATTCAGCCGGATGCCTGCTCTATCATACCGCACATTTTAAGAGGAAGAATGATTCTCAATGGCCCTAAACCCTCTTCAAATCTTACTCCTCCAGTACTTATAAATCGGTGGTTTATTTTGTACTCTTACTCTATAGACTCTTACTTATAAGTAGAAGAAGGCTCTACAAAAACTCTACCGATAAACTTATAGCGGGCATTGCTGAAAGTAGGATCATTACGGTAAGCAGAAGTGGCGTACCCAGGATTTCCGTTCGGTGGGGGGGGGGGGGGCGCAACCAAAATTTTTTTCGGATGAAGGTACGTGGCGTTAGCCATGCACTCCGAAAATTTATTTAGGATGCTTTCCAAACTTTTCGCGGCTCCCTGACCCCAAAATTTTAGAAAAAGGGTAACTTTCAAAAATTTCGCGACCGGTTCCGGAGGGCCCCCTCGGTACGCTACAGGTAAGCAACGGTAACATTCGATTTTTTGTGATCTAATTGAGGCCGCTCGCGCCCGCGACGCACCTGCCTCTCTCGCGCGAGTGCTCTCTGATCATTACCTAGCCTTAATTAGGTCACGAAGCCCCGCTCTTGCTGATGCCAAACCAGTTGAATCAAATGGTAGTGCAATTTCCGGCCCGTTTTGAATGGTCTTTCGAAGAAGACGTTTCCACAGTCAAATGGTTAGCCCAATTTTCTGCATTTTGCCCTATCTCTCAAACTCCTTCCCAACCCTCCAGTTTTACATTGACTTCTGAGTGTTCCACTGCTCCAAAACATGGAGCATGCATATGGACGGAGCATGCTTATAGCCACAATTTAAAATGACGTAGGATTTGAGCACTCAATTCTTTTTGAGCAATGACTGAAACCGATTTCATTCTAGTCGAAGATGCTACTGAAGGTTATGGCTACTGAAGGCTTTTATGTACCTTTATAGTGACTGCGGCGGTGACCCGATTATTATTTCGGCGCTCCAACTCTCCAAAATGCTCCAGTACTAATACCGTGCGTAGGTTCATAAACGGTTGGTTAGTTCAAGATGTGAGGACCGGACTTTGTTCCCACGGTCATAGTGGCGCCACGATCACTACGTCACTCGTCGCCAAGGTTGTTCGACAAAATAAAGAGAAAAAGGTTTTTATGAAGTTCATATGCCAAGAAACGGGAATTTAGAGTCAAAATAGAAATGTAAGCTTGTGGTGAACACTGGGCACAATGTTAAGTTTTGACAGGGCACAACTTTTTAGATGACCTAGCACTTTTCGAATGGTACAAGAGAAAACCCGTGCAATCCCAAAGTACAGGGGTTGCTAGTGACCGAAAAGATGTCTTTTATAGAAACCAAATCATCAATCATTTTTTTACAAACTACAGATGTGGTTGATTAATAAAAACTGATGACAACATGGTTTCAGTCATCGTCTCTCATCAACCATTCTTTTTTGTGTGTGCGGCAACGATTTCGGAGTTGTGTAAAGAGGTTAAAAAGCAAAGAGGTGATTTAAAAGCGAGAGTCATTCAAACAATGAAGAATAAAGTTTTAGAGGGCTTGAACGAACCTCATATGGACTATGTGGCAGATCTTCATCGGCAATAGTGTGAGCGAACTTTGCAGGAAGCATGGCGTACAGCGAACTGCGGACAGTGCGATGAACACGGCACCAATGCGAGCCTGAGGAGGCGAGGTTTACGTTCGCGACTATCCGATTTAACACAGATCGATGCAGGCAGTCGATCATTGTACAGTCATCGCATGGAGACGCGAAGATTCGATAGCGACAACGGCAGCACCCGAAAAAGTGAGTGATCCCACGCTCGTCTGCCGCTGATATGGGGACCACAACGCACACACTATCTTACGACTTGGCACCCACTCCAGCGCTCATGGAAGGGCATCACATGACTTTTGCCATTCATTCATTGGGTTGCTGATAGGTGCCCGGGCAATCCTCGATACGAAGCAATCTACTAGGCCCAAAACCTCGTCAAAAGAGTGCAGCTACATTTCTCTTTGTCTTGTAATCGCGATATGCGTGCAGTTTGGAATGGTGTCATAGTTTGCTCGGATTTCAAGGATTCCCGCCGCGCTGCGGGCGCATGTATAGGTCGTTTGTAAGACCATGACAACGGATTTGATTGCGGTCTTGCACCCATAGGAGCACAAAAGACTCATACAAAACGGCATCACCCCAACTCTCAGCTCAGTCACTTCCAATGCCGGTAGAGATGAAAAAACCTAGAAAATGCGGTTGCCGGGAGCGCATGCGTCTGCGCGCGGTCGTACCATCGTCATGATCTTTCGAATGCCCTATATCTATTGCTGCAGAAAGAAGTAAGTAGCAAAAATGGCTGCCTCGTGTGCGACGAGTGATTTCGTTTGGTCCATTAGCGATCATGGAGTGAATGGATGCAGCTTTAGGTGAAGACTGCAGCGATACCCCGTCTCTAAAGAACCCTAGGAACTTATGAGATTTTTTTGACACGACCTGGACACAAAAACCAAAAGGTTCAAAGTTCACAAGTATGGCAGTGGCTGTATATTGTTTGAAAAGTACCATATAAAATAATTACAACAGTACTTCTTCGTCCTATTTTTCTCCTAGAATTGCTAGGTAACTTTGACAGAGGTATTACGCACATTTCTTAATATTGAAACTTCAAAATTATGAACTTCATAAGTCTTCAGGCCGATTAAACCAAATCAAAAGGTTTTGTTGGCACTTAGCTTGTTGCATCCACGATAAGAAGGCAAGATACTGCACGTCCTTCACATAAAAACCACATGAAAAAAGGAATCAGGGTCCATTCTAAGTACAATGCTGACTCACTGTGTAAACGACGCCAATCACTTCTTTTGATAATGAGATCACCACTACCATGATGATGCAATTGTCAGTATGCAAAACAAAAGTATAACTGAAACAAAAGAGTTTCTAGATCAAGAAATTAAAACATAAGCATAAATGAACTATGAAAATGCACAGTTACAATGAATGAATCACTTTGATAGCAACAATTACTTGGTCGCATCGTCTTCCACATCTTCTCCATCGTACCTGTCTTCTCCTTTTGGCACTTCGCGCAAAGAGTGATTTACGCCTGTTTTGACTACAGACGCTCTGCAAATGTCATTGCTTGCTTCGCGAACATTCGATGATGCTTTTCCCGATGTTGAGAATCAGTTGGTCCACTTCCAGACGATACTCTTGAGCTTTCATACGATCGCTGGCTGCCAGTTCTCGAAGTCGAATGCTCAGCGATGCACCTATACAAACAGCACTTAGAGTGAGGACCAAAATGACTGCGAGAAGCTCACCTAAAATGTCCCACTCATCACCAGGAGGTGATGCCTGATTGTTGAGGTCACGTGCAAAAGCCTCCAGCATGGATAAGGCTAGAATCGTAAGTGAATATAGTTGGAAAGACGAAAAAAATGATTATCATCTACTTGGACCCTTGCTAAAAGTGGGTTAATTCGTTCTCGAGAAATGTCAAATCGTTCTTCATCTTTCACTCACCGCGCTTTCAAAAAGCATCATCGCAAGCTAAGTTTTTTACGGCTTTTATCTCTTTGTTGACGCATACAGTAGCACAATACTGGTGTGGAGATTAAGGAAAGTGTCCAGGCAAAAAGTCGATTTTGAGATTTTGTGCTTACCCGTGCCTATTCGCTATGCTGAATTCAAAAACTCACACTGGAGAGCGCGGAAACGGCGAAAAGGAGCTTTAAAGGGAGTGCCCAGACAATTTGGAGGTTTTGGGATAGTGCGATGCGAAAGGGAGGGCAAGCGTTAGGCGACAAAACGTGCAAAACGCAATCAACGTAAAGCCCGTAAGTCAAAACTATGTGCAATTTTTTTTTGATGGCGTCGAGTAATGTATCGGCCCCGACCCCCACCTCCCTGTTTTTGGAGGAGACGTTTTGCACGGGGAGTTATTTGGGGTAAAAAATCGGGTTTGCCGCGTAACGCCCTTCACCCACGCGAAAGCGACTTTCGTTCCCCCACCCCCTGCTATGCGGCAGGGTATGTACGCATGCCGCCACAGTCAAAATCGTAGGGTCCCAGAGCGACTTTGCGTCTCAGCCCTGGCGGAAACCGTCGAATTTTGAACTGTAAGGGCTTTGGAAACCGTATGTTCTCGTCGTTTTCGCGCCTTCTAATGAATTTTCGGATCCAGCGGGCGGATAACTCCCGGTAAGTGAATTTTCTAAAACGAGTTTTTGCCCGGATACTGCCTTGCACCGTCCCAGAAAAGTAAACGTTGACAATCCCCGTTCCGGAAAACCCGCAGGACGGTTTCTCCAAACGGTAATTGGATGGGCGGGCACGAATGGGCGAGGATTACTAAAGGTGGGGGGGGGGGGGAGGGGAGGCGGTGCCGCCTAGGGGTCCTCGTACCTCTTCATTATTCTAGAGCTATCTCCGCTTCCGAAGCAATATCTGCCGAGCATTGGCTTGATAGGGGAGGGGGACTACTATCCGATGCTTACCGTTTTCATTTTCCTTCACTTGTTTTTCTTCTTTCTCGGAAGTGCAAGGTAAGTCTGGCTTTGGAGAACTATCGAGTTCCCTTTTCGGCGATGAGCGATATCGTCGCGAGCAACTGAAATGACAGAAGAGGTGCAGGTTACAGCAGCGACCCTATGAGCGAAAGTTTAAAGACTAACCTGTTCTCTGTTGCTGCAGAGAGGAAGGCCATGCGTTCATAGAATGGCCATGCCATGATTCTTCTTGTCACCCTTGATTCCACACCATTTGGTACTTGAACTGCTTCTTTCATGTAACGCTGCTTCCTAACGTAGGTATCGCGCAGCGTTCTCCAATGCTTTTGGAGCTCCACAACTGAAAATGGGCACACAGATATAAGGGAAAGTGATTCCGTAGACCACGACACATCAACTTGTGTAGAGTGGGGGACGGCACTACTGCATGGATATTTGGACCCCTCTGTTAAATGCAGTATGATCAAGGTTCGGCACAGAAGTACAGAAGTCAGACTGGCCTTCGTTCCAGGGGCAAAAACAGTTGTTCGTGAAACAAGTTGTACATGGTTACACTTGTCCGTGACATTTACTACTACACATTTTCTACATTTTAGCATTTTTTTCTACATTTTCTGCTTACTTTTACTCATTTTCTTCACTGTCAAGTCAATACAAAACTGATCTGCTCCAAAGTGTCAGGTCATAAGCGCGCAAAATTTGAAATGCTGAAACAAAGAAACGAGTGGGGTAGGGAACTACCATGGCCGATAGGCTTCACCCCACGCGGACAGCTGGCACAAATCTGCAGTGTGGTTAGTGGTCGCCCCTTTTCGGCGACATATAGTCCTCTGCCCCCTAAATGGCCATAGTGACCGTAGTGCTTCCCATACAGGACCAACGCGCGACACACTGGCTGTGTCGGCTTTTGCCTAAGCAAAGCAGGTGGAGGAAAGTTTGAGGGGTGCGTGACATTTCAAAACTTAAAATCAGGACAGCGCTGGAGACCGATTTCCAACTAGTGATTAGTCAAAATTGTTGGCCAGGGTCGACACAGCGCTGGAACGTCAGAGCGGATGCTACCGCAAACCACCCGCACTGGCGTAGCGGCCTTTTGTGTTGTACTTGTGACAGTGGGCAATTACGAACGCTTCGCGTCCATTGGCATAAAAACGATCAACGCTAAAACACTTAACGAGGAACATTGACTAGTCGATGTTTCGAAAATATTTAGAGCATCAATTCAAACAATCTCTAAGAATCGAACATATGGAATTGTTTGATTTCTGCTTTTCAACTAACTCTTTGAAAGTTCAAGTATTAGTTGGTCCAAGTTCGTCCGCACCTTCTTTTAGAAAATCATAACTTCTTTTTCTTTCGATGAAATTCCCTAAGATTACTTCTGTGAAAGAAGAAATCATGCGCACTGCAATAGTACCCTTGGTATGAATCACTATGAGAAAGCACAAGAATTAGAAGTAGATAAAAAATTACTTGAAATCGGAAGTCCTGCAGGATGACGAAAAAACAGTGATAGTGTTCGAAAGAGGAATTTTGCGCATCCTAGCAGTATTTCTGTTGTGAAAAATTATGGGAAAATGCGAGATTTAGGAACGATTGGAGAAAGGACAGAATAGCTTTTCAAGGAAGATGTGCTAAAAATACTAGAAGGTCAGAGGATGAGACCTAATCAGGTTCAGATATTTTTTTGCAAAGTTGTGACATTTATGCCTGAAGTCAAATTTTTTGCCATATAAAAGGCGTCCTAGGTGATTTCTTTCATTTGCTTGTGAGTCATTAATATTTTCGTACTAATTCATCTCAAGAGCACTACTGTAAAGCGCATGATTGCTCCGCGCGGCACCGTCCGGTCAGGTTTTTATCTTTGGAATTTTTGTTCTGACTGAAATATCAAATGATAATAGAAAATCATTTCAAGCAGGGAATGATTTCACCAAAACAAAGTTTTAGTGCGATGACATTATTCTGCACATCCTTGGTAAAAGTTAGATGAAATGAATAAGAATCTCTTGGAAATTTATGAACCTTCGGAGAGTATTATGCTGCATAATAATCAAAATTTGCTAATTCTGAAAAAAAATTCTGAAAGAATATGGGAACAGCGGTTTCAGTCTGCATGCTCTGATGCTCATCTTGGCTGTTCCGCTGACACTCTTCACATGTCCAGAATAAACCAGCTCATCGGACTTCAAAATTATCATTCCTTTGAGATCAATTTATTACATAATTTTCTTAATCTGCTTTGGTTGTCAAAATGAATGGCTACAAAACTTCAATGGAGCTCAGTAAGTACATTAAGAGGCCCGATTTGTTCATAGACACAGTCCGATGGGAGGAGCAGTTCATTTCTTTCAAAACCTGAAGGGTCAAGAATAAATTTACTCCGAAAGTGTTTGAATTCACTTTGCTTGCCATAAAATTATTACAACTGTATAATTCTACACACTTGAGAATATTTTTTCCTCAAATTAACATTCTCAAAGAATTCTCAGTCCTCAAAGAATCATAACTTTTTTCTATCTCATTGAAATTTTTGAAATTGTCTTTGTTAAAAATAGAAATCATGCGCTTTATAGCGTTTACCTTGCTATGAACCAGTGTGAAAAACCAGACCCAGAGAAAAATGAAGCAAATGACTCAAGAGGCCTTGTAGCAAAAAAGTAAAATTCCAGTTCACGGTTTGACATAAAAAGTAACCACTTTGTAAAAAACTATCTAATTCTACTTAGGTCTCATCCTAAGACCATTTAGTAGTAATAGCGACCTTGCTTAAAAAAGCTATCTTGACCGTTTTTCTTCAATCGTTCCCACCTCTCTCATTTCTCATATTTTCCCACGGCCAAGTTGCTATGATGCGCGTACTTTCCTCTTTCAAACAAAACTACTTCCAGTTTTCGTGACCCTGCACTTCCAATTTGTAATTTTCTTCGTCTGCTTCTACCTCTCGCGCTTTCCAATATTGATTCACATTAAAGGTACTGCTGTAGAGCGCATGATTCATTTTTTTTTTTCAGGAATAGTTAAAAGACGAAGAAGTTATGATTTTCTGCAAAGGTGCAAGCGAACTTGAATTATCTAGTACTTGGATTTTCAGAGACGAGTAGATGATTTGAAAAGCGGAATCAAACAAATTCGTACGTCCGCTTTTCGGAGATTGTTTGTTTGATACTTGGCAATTCAAGGGATCCGTTAAACTTTCCAAAAAGCCCAAAACCGCCCAAAAACCCGAAATCGCCAGAAACAGCCGGAACGCTCTTATGACTTTTGGTAGAATTTTGATATTATTTCGATGTGCACGACAGAAAACGAAGCAAAATGATTCGGTTGCGAAATCAACACACACGCCTTAGCGCAAAAACTGACGCACAAAAGGGGGCGTTTGGGCTCCTTCTGGCGCTTTGGGCTTTTATAGGCTTTTTCGAGCTTTGTGGGCGCTTTTGGGCTTTTTTCGTAGAAGTATGACAGCACCTTGAGTATTTGAGAAACATCGACCAATCAGATTTGTTCCTCGTTATAATTCTTAGTGTCAGTCGTTTTCATGCCGATGTTCGAGAAGCATTCATAGTTGCCCGCGTGTCACAGGTACAACACCAAAGGCCGCTGCGCCACTGCGGGTTGCGCGCGGTAGCACCCGCTGTGGCGTGTTTTCCAGCGCTGTGTCGACCGTGGCCAACATTTTCGACTAATCATTAGTCGGATCCACTATGATAGCTGAAACTTGTCCGTTTTGCGCCTTATTTGACAGACTCGTCATAGAAAAAAACTTGGAGGACGAGCTTTGATAAGAAGTCCCTCACTCACCCCCCCCCCCCTCCCTATTAGTCCCTTTGTCCCCGGAGTCCTTGGATCTTTTTGTACCGCACAACAGTGTCATAATCGGTGATAATATAAGAGAAGGACAAAGGAGACATCAAAAATATCCGCAAAAAATATGAAGTTCAGTGAAGAGACCTGCGCCAAAGGGATGAAGTCCAGTGTTCTCATCCCGACACAAAGAATTTCAAGGATATAGGCTGTGTTAATATTGTGTCTAAGCCTCATAGGCCCAGGCCCTCGCAGCCGTCTAGCTCGCACCTGCGCCGCGTTCGCAGATGCATCCATTGGGTGTTCTCCTCATACTTGTGCAGTGACTGTGGGCTAGTGAAATGTCTAGAGGATACGTTCACGAGCGCAGCGCAAGGCTCAAACGAGACGGTCAAGAAATTACAAGCCTCTGGAAGCTGTGACACTATCATTGAGACAGCCTATAATTCAGCCTACTTGAATCCTTTATAAGAAAACATACTTGGTATTTGTTTGCCTCTCTGTCCGAAAGCTTGTTGTATCTCGTGCCATTTCCTCATCCGCACAGCACTGTTCTTGTAATCGCAGTGATCTTCAAGCCAAAGGACCTTCTGTTCTTGCATGAGATCGATAAGGAAGAACTTGTCATCCTCGGAGAAATAACAGACGTCGTCGTTGAACTTTGGCATCTCTGCAATGCGAATGCGTTACGCAGGAAAAGATTTTGGAAAGAACAACAACAGTCTTTAACTGCAAGAGGATTTAAAAGTTAGGAATGCGACAAAAGAGACGTGCGATACTGAGACGGACACATTCCGTGTCGAAATTACGCAGCACTGACGCACGCCATCGATCGGAGCGACACGCGACGAGGCTGCGAACGGGCACCGCGTCGTCGGTGTCGGCACGCACCCTCGCCCCCGTCACGCAATCCGATGCGCGCCGATTGACGCATACACAATGACGTCGCTCGGTGGCGCTCTTCCGATTGCGGGGTTCCCGCCGGGTCTTTGCATAGGGAATGGCCTAAACTGTGATAGATATATTAGCTTCCAATAAGGCTGAAACGAAAGACTTTGAAATGTTTGATCTTCGATTTTTACTTGCATATAGGAAATTCTTAATGTTGTGGATCTATCATCAGATATCAAAGGAGAATTCGGGGAGCATAAAATTTTAAACTTTTAAAATGCCAAATTTGAGATGAAAATCCAAGCTACGGTTCAAATTTTAGGAATCAAGATCAAACGTGCCTTGCCGTTTACATATTTGCTTCACGCTTAGGGCCCCTGTTTGGCTAATTCGCTTTGGCGCCTCTCAAAAATGTCCCAGACAAAAGTTTGACCAGTGTTCGGGGTTCAGTGTCCAATGTGAGAAAACGTATTCCGGAAAGAGTAATTTAATGAGAATCAGAAGGTACTACTTGTCTGCATGATTTATTCCCAGTGAAGAAAAGGCGCTAAGAAGAAAGCTACACCGATTCCGTGGCGAGCAAGTGTGAGGAAACGTATTTTCACTTACAGAAATCCAGAATAGCAGATCACAATTTTTAATGTTGTCCACTAAGAAGGAAAAATGTAAATCCAGTTACTAATCAACTCATTTGTACATCTATAACCGCTTGCAAATGAAACCTAGAAATTTGAGAATTTGAATTATCTAGCCATATTGGAGCAAAACGCATTTTGTATAGATATAAATAAACTGTTAATCATTTGTCAAACGTTGATATAAAGTAGAATCCCGAAACTGCCTGAACAAAAAGGTACAGCTTATCAACAACAAGCTAACGTAGCTAACATTCACAAGAAGTTTGCAAGTCAATTTATTTTTTGGCCAATTGAGAACAATAAAAAATCATTGCAAGTCAGTCTATCGAGCCGTTATACACTGCATTTCTGCCTTCCTTATCAAATTTATCACGAATGCCGGTCTAAATCATGAACTTGCTTCTATGTTATATAAGTATTGGAGTTCTTTGAGATCCATTCGTCTTGTAAGCCTTTCTCCAATGACCGTATTCATGAACAAACTCTAAGGGTAAACCTTACCATCGAGGGTAAGTTTTACCCCAAAATGCATTGAGCATTCACGAAACACAAGGGGTAAAACTTACCCCGGAAAGAGATTAACCCATCTCAGGAATTCCTTTTTCTCAGGGTTTCCTAACAGTAAGTTCTTTTTCGTCTCATCCAGTCATTATGAAAACCAGGAAAAGTTTTTTGTATTTTGTTGGTCAACTTTAAGTGTATCTAGTTGAGCTGCGATAGTGTGGTCATGTATCAAATCATTTACTAAACGAGTATATTAGAGTATAGTGGACTGAAATCTGAATGAGGGAGTTCCATATTACGAAATTTTCGGATTCTTGAGCTTGATTTTCGCCGTATCAAAGTCCTTTATTGGACATGTACTCTTTTCAAAAACAAATCTTTCATATAACAACTCGGCCGAATATAATATCGGATGGTAACATCAAAGAAAGAAAGAGCCATAGGAAGTTTAGATAGTAGTAACCATTGAGTGTTTACTGTCAAAACAGTATCGCTATTACTTTGTACGAAGTGTTAGAATGAATTTAATCTTGCTTTGTTCTAGGGTTTACCCTAATAAGCCAAGTTCGTGAACACTGGTTAATCGCTCTTTGGGGTAAGATTTACCGTCAAGGGTAGGATTTACCCTCACGGTTCGTTGATCGATGCGGGTAAACGCTTTCCGGGGTAAACCCTACCCTATCCTCAAGGGTTCGTTGTCGGATAGAGCCAATGATGCCAATGAACCCTGAGGGTTGACCACAGGGTTCGCTGATGAATAAGGCCCGTATGCACTAACATTTTTGCGGCGAGGGGAGCGGCGTCCCCCGTTATGAAGGGACCGCGTGCGGACGCCACTGCGGTTGGAGGTGTGTCGCGAACGATGGTCAGTAAGGCCTAAGGCATACTTCACGCGATTTACCAAATCGCGACGTCCACTCGACTTGGCGTTTTGCCAATTTTCTATAGATTTGTCGTAGGCGGTTTCGAATGCAAGGCTTGTAGCTTTTATTAGTTCTTGCAAAAGGATTAAGTCTTGTTTAAACAAAGGCCGGTAACGAGCAATTAGGAACAGTCGCTTCTTGCCAAATCGCTTAGCGACGGAAATCGCGTAGAGTATGCCTTAGGCCTAAGCCATACCTCTCGCGATTTCGCAAAATCGCCACATCTTCGCGACTTGGCGATTTGCCAGATGTCTAGAGATTAAGCATGCGAGGCTCTCAGATGCATGGGTGCGTAGATTCCGTAAATTGTAACAAACACAGCAAGTTTGGCCTAAGCAAAGTGCGTTTACAACCAGCTATGGAGAATCGTTGCAGTGCCAAATCGCGCGGCGACTAAAACCGCGTGAGGTATGCCTTAGGCCTTAGGCTAAGGCCATACCTCACGCGATTTCAGTCGCCACGCGATCTGGCAATTTGCCAGATACCTTCAAATTCAATACTGGCAGACCCCAAATGCACAGCATATTTAGTTTTGGTAAGTTGATAAAATGCCCTATATTTCGTACATTTAGAAACCCCTTACGATGAGTTATGCACAACTGGAGTATTGCCAAATCGCGGCGCGACTGAAATCGCGTGAGGTATGCCCTTAGCCTTAGGCCTAAAGTGATCACGGGCAAATCGCCACAACTATGAAGACGGCTTACAAAGGAAATCCACTGAGTCGAAATGGCCTTTTTGAGTGACTTCTATATTATTTTGAAGAGCAACAAAAGATGGTTTCAAAGCTGTCTTCATTATCTGCCAAACGCTTTTGGACGCCGAGATAAGCGTCTGGGACTGAAAAATTGAATGCTCAACTCGAACAAAATGCGTCCAGAATTGCTCAAATACATTTTTTGCTCCGAAAAATACTCAGAACTCAGCGCCCAGAGGCGCTTGACAGATAATAAAACCAGATTGGAACTAGGGTATAATGCTCTTAAATGCAGTGGCTCGGGAAAATTGCAACTGCGCGCTTTTCTTCCTCCTTGGTCTTGTGGATGCGTTTGACCAGAGCTGTGCTTGAAGTCAAGAAAGTGTTCATGCCGTTCTCCGGCCTTGGAGATTAGTGAGGAAGCTGGAGCGGAGATTCCCGCAGCCGAGTCGCGATTGGCTGCCTGGGCCAATTAGTAGTAGCATGCAGTAGCCTTTACTGCCTCCAGCTGATCTTTCGCAAGTCCAGCCGACGAACGCAGTCGTGCACCTACAGTGCCTTAGCTGGTCTTAGCGATCGCGAAGGGATGCAACATTACAGGCGATGCAGCTGTAGCGAGGACAATGACACCCAAGCCTTCGCAGTACCGAGGACGTACAGATCCGCTCTGCATGTATTTCGTCAGACAACTGGGCCACAGCAACTCGCCATTGACATTTTTTTCCACAATGACCTCTTGCACAGATCCGTAATTTATTTACTAGAAATCTATCCAACAAAGTCAAAATCTCAGGACAACTCGGTGGATTCGTGTATCTCACACAGCATCCAAACCCGCAGACTTTGCTGGATCATGGTTGATCTTTTTATTTGTTGATAACTTCAATTGTAAACACCAGGCGGTTTTAGCACAGCTTACGGCGAATTTCCTTACGCCGACCGACGAGCTAACCGGACTTGTTGGCCAGTTTCGGTATAATATTGAAAATCGTCACGAACAACTTTGCCGCTGCCACAGCCGTAGCTCAAATTGAAAAGGCCTATGACACATATCACGATGTCCTCAATGAACTTCTGATGACGTGGAATCTCGGACAGGTAAGTTCAGTACTCCAAAAGTGGTCCAACAAGCAACAAGCTGCGCCATCACTTTCGGCAGTGAAGGCAAACCGCCTCAGGCTGAGTCCCCAATTGACGACGTCACAGCCACAACAGTCGGCTGCTAGCTCTCTCAATCGCTTGCTGAGACAGCACGACTGTCATCATTAACAGCGCACTTTGACCCAGAACTCAGGCATTTCGCCTCTCAGCAAAGCTCGGCAACACTACCGGGTTCTTTCTGCGTCGCGACCTCCCGTCGCCCCCAAGATGGGGACCGAGGCGCATTTTACAGGAATGTCAGAAGCGATGGAGATGGTGCCGCGCGTATTGAACCAGCGTGCAGGTCAACAACGAAGACCTCCATCTCTTGCTACTTCTGTAAAGAACATCACTTCTTCTGAAGCTGTAACGTGTATCCGCGTCAGTGGCGGAGCATCAACGCGAGAGGCGAAAGAAGGTGGTGTTTTCTCTGTTGTGATCGATACGCTGAGGAAAACTGTCCTTTCCGTGGAAGGAGGTGCAGGGGATGTTCTAAGCACCACGAAATACTCTTCTGTTTCAAACCGCGAGTCAATGAGTCGATACGGAGGACTATTGTCTGCGCTTAGAGCAGTACAAATCTCTAGCGAACTTGCGGCGAAGACGGGAAAGGATTCTAGATTTGCAGGAAGTCGCCACATTGTACGCTCTTCCTCGAGCTGCTTTTCTTCCTCAACTTTCGGTTTTTTGCGTGAGCTTTGATAAGCCCACTCTTTTGCTTTTGTTGTCAGCTTAATTTTAGACTGATTGGTGAGGTAAATGGAGAGTGCCGCTGCTTGGTTGCCACACTATGCGCCCACATGCGACTCCCCACAATTTGGGTTTTTTGGTTTATCCTTTATCCCATTTTGTTTCTTGTTTTCTGGCAAACTTTAATTT